GATTTTTTTATCTTGTTATAGGCCTCATTCAATTGTTCTTCAATATTCTCTATTGTTAAACTTGTGAGAGCAGGTAGATCTAAAATGTGGTTTAATAACCTCTTCGTCCCCATCATGTCCTATTCTAGAGAACTGTGCTGTTACTATAATGTACCATTTTAAAGCCTTTTTCTCTCTCATTGATTTCTTCCTCGAGTTTCGACATAATATTTAATTTGATATTATTTAAAAATATTTCTAGATCTTGATTAATTTCTTTGGTGGCGATAATTGTAAAAGAACTGAAGACGTTTAAGGCCGACGCTGCATGCTTCATTCGCTTGTTTAATGGATGGGGATTATTACTTTTCCTTTTAATACTTTGAACAGTACCATGTTGAGTACGGTCATGTTTCATTAGATCATGTTTTCTGCTAAACACGTCGTTGCATTTTTCACATGAAAAGGTATTTTTTTTAACATGAATATTTTGTATGTGTCTTCGTAAACTATCTGCTCTCGTAAACTGAGCCTGACATTCTTCACAGTGAAAGATTTTTCCCTCATGTGTTTTCGAATGACGAACTAAATTACTTTTATTGCTAAAACTTTTACCACATATGTCGCAAACCTGTGAAAGATAGAAAAGCGGCTTTCAATATGCATGCTTTCCTCATTATAAAATTACTCATTTTTAATTATCCCTCACTAAAAAAAAAATTAATTACATAATTCATTTTAGAAATCGTTTTAGTATTAACTCTTTACGTTTAAAGAATTTTAGTTTAGTTTAAAAATCTCTCTCTCACTCTCACTACTTTTTTTTCCTAATAATCACACATTATACAACAACGACTGAAGGGAAAGAGAACCATTGAATAAATAACTATATCTGCAAGTCACTATTAAAAAGAAAAAAAAAGTTACCTCTCTTGTACTTCGTTGAGGTTCCGTTCTTTCAGAAGTTAGAGAGTTGAATTCCTCCTCCTGAATTCCAAAGTCGATAAACTAAGAAAAAAAAAAGAGAGAAAAAACTGTGTTAATAAAAAATATTTTTTTAGAATATTCAAAAATGATGACTGCTGTTTAAAGTATTTGATACTTCATTCATTATCTTATAATAAATATACTTTTAAAATAAAGATTCAAAATAAAAGCATCTTCTCTCATAAAAAATAGTTCATTCATGCATTAAAAATATCATGCAACGATATACAAACTCGACTGATTTCCTTCAGACTCTTACAAATGCTTTAAAAAAATTTTTTTTGAACTCTAAACTATGTAAAAGCAGGCTATTTAATTCAAATCATACTTGAAGCAAACATATAAATCATGCATTAAAAAATAGATTGATTATAATTCATTTTAAAAAGTTCATCTAGTCTGAAAAAAAAATAATAATTAAAATAATATATAACAGTTCTAATACTTACGTTGGAAGAAACAGATTGGTGATCTTGTTCGAAAGCCATCGCAAAAAAAATATTAAAAATATTAAGCTCTGTGAATCAAATCAGGAAGACTTGCTCTTTTCAAGGTTGAGAAGAGAACTGACTTCTTCCATTTCTGAAACACCTTTTATAGGGATTAAAGAATGTTCTCGAAACATTTCAGATTTGTATAATCTGAACCAGGACAACAACAACATTATGATAACCCTTTCTTTCGAATACGATTTCAACTTCCATTAACCCTTATCATGATAACGTGAAGTCTACAACGCTTATCAAGGATCTTCCTTCACTTATGTATGTATTGTCAAACTTGGAATAGCAACAACAACCTTAAGATAATACATTCTTTCACATATGATTATCAGAGTTTTAGAAATTTTCCATTACTCTATCATGATAAGTGGATGATGCTTTTAAGATTACCCTTATGCATATATGTATAAGTAATGTCAAACTTAAGAATAACAACTCTTTCAAATAAGTTTTCAGTGATTATCAGAGTTTTCCATTAACCTATCTTACCATGATAACGCAATAATATAATGACGCCTTATAGACTGTCCTTCCCAAACAAGACAAGACAAGAATGTATTACGATAAGTGTTGATGAATTATATTGGTGAAGATATATTTTTATGTATTAATTTTAAAAATATAAGAGATTCTTTAAGGCAGAAAAAATTGTTCATTTATTTTGTGATAGGTTTTTTGAATCGAAATGTTATGAAGATTATAAAAATGCATTAATATAAGTACAGCTATTCTATTTAAATTTCTGTGTTTGGTTGATGTTATGACTATTTTTTTTCCTTATGTTTTTAATAGAAATATATTGAAATTTTAGTTTTAATTTTAAAGCAAACGTGTATATCAAATGTTAGTAAATGGATATTAACTAATGAAAGAAAATTCCAAGTATATTTTATGTATAATACAGAAATTTATTCTTTGAAATATAATGTATTGAAAGGTAAAAGCTTCTTGGTGAAATGAATGTTTTTCATAACATTTAAAAACGATGTAAAACAAATATTGATTGTAGAGAGAAGAAAGAGTCTATATGTAAAAATAATAATTTTATTCATTTAATAAGGTTCCCATTTTCGTGGAGAACGTATATGTTTTACAGATTTAACATGCAATATTTTTTTTTTCATATTAACATCATGATTCTGTAAATTTTCATTTTTGATATAGTCCATTGGCATGTTGATTTCAGTCAAGGCTTTTAAAAATTCGTTTTTTTAGCAGGAATATTAATCTTTTTCTTTTGGTTGTAAAAAGGATATTGAATAAGTCTATAATATTTGAATGCTTAATTTTTTCCTTATGATAAAGTACCTCGCCTTTATCATTCCACTTAAGAATATCAGGATGTCGCTTTAAAATAGCTAATGCATTTTGTGCTTTTCTTCTCATTCGTAAAGGTACACTGTCTAAGATAACAGTAGAATAATCAGTTACAGTCATCTGTTTGTCGCCGTCTGTCACAGATGAGGGGGCTTCTTCTTCCTCTTTCACTTTCTTCATCTCAGCTGAATCGTCTAAAGAATTTTGTGAGTCGTCTTTAGGAGGTTTAAAGGGTGAATTGTATTCCTTTAAGTTCAATTTCTTTTGCAAAAGTTCATAATAACGCACTAATTTCTCACGATCGTCAACTGAACTGTTTAAAATATGCATCATGGCTTTATCCAATTCACTTAACTGTTTATCAGAAATGGTTAGGAATCAAAACGTTTAGAAAACCTCCTTTTTGTAAAATTAATTTTCGTTTCTTCACAAGAGAAATCTTACGATTTCCTAATTTTCGTAAAGTTGTTTTATGCTTACAGAGAGACTTCTTTTGTTGCTCCGACAATGGAACGTTTCCTTTGAGTATGTTTAAACTACATTCGCATATAGCTTTTATGCAATTGATATTAATTTTCTTTAATAGCTGTTTCCGTAACTTTAACGGACAAATGTTTAACAGCTGTAACTGTCTTAGCTGTTTCTTGACCAGCGTCATTTTATAAAATGATGATGCATTTTATAAAGCTGTTGTTTTTTATATTTTTAATAATGTTTCATTTGATAAACATACTGTACTTGGTTAGGTAAAATTTGGGTGCGTAAACGTAATTCTTCCGGAGTTTCACTGCGCAGATCAATGAATAAATAAGAAAAAAGGTTTCTTGGTTGCATCTTCATATACTTCTTGAAAAAAACTTTAAATGACGCGGAAAGAGAGCTGTTTTCCTAAATGTACGATTTGACTGACATCTCTTCTGTTTTTACACAAAATCAAATAGTGTGCATTTAAAGTCACTTCACGCATTTCTTTTCCCTTGTGAAAAAAGTTTTGTGTGATAAAAATAACGCTTAAATTTAAATGATGACTTCCTTTTGTAAATAAGTTAGTCAGACGTTTATCATTCCCACATTCGCTCATCAAATCGTCTATGATGAATAATGTGTTGGAACCTAAATATTCTTGATATTTAATTGGTAAACCTTCGACAAAAGTAACATTCGGTATATCATTATACAGAGGTTGGTAAATTCCATAACACCATACTACTTTATCGGGAATCGTTGAAAATAGGTTTTCCCACATCCAGTGGGTCCCGAAATCCCCATTATGAAAGGATGTTGTAGCTTTGGAAATTCCATATTAAATGAGACAAGACACATAATGTATAAAGTTTAAATGTATTTATTGATAGAAAGAAGATCTTACATGAAATTTCTTGATTACAAAATTATATACTTTAATATCATTAGATATATGTTGAGGTATGAAAGATAACAATATATCATTGAGAGATTGTCCACGACATTTACAATGTAAATAGTATATGCAATATTGACCACATACTGCTGTTACATTAGTTTGGAGAGTCATCGAATTAAAGTCCATCTGTGGAAATCGTTCTGCATACTTGGTTATCGGTCCAGGAAAATAGGATGGGTCATGTCCATAGGAATCGAAAAATTCTAAATGCTGTGGAGATGAAATGTAAAAGGCTAACCAGTGACTACCGGATTCAGATGCACGATCTACATTAGCTATAAGCAACTTGGATATTTCTTGATCTCAACAGGGAGTCGATCACTTGCAAAAACTCCCAGAAATGCTTTTCGTGTCTTTGCATTCTGAGAGAGTGCTCTGTTTATTTCAAGGCTGTCCATTGCTTAATTGGCAAAATCGCATAGTACATGACGAGATTTGGTTATTTCAATCACGTTTTGAAATTCTGCATAGACTAGCACCGAGTGAGTCACAGAGAGAGCTTTAGCAAATTTAATTTCTACTCGCAAATTGCCTTGATGCTGTAAGTTAAAATGAGATCCATCACACATATCTGGAGTTAAATCGAAAGCATATAACACATGTCCTTTCACAAATTCTTCTCGAGATAAATAGATGCCTTTGTCGCGATTAAATCCAGAAAATAAACTGTGGTAAGCACGCACATAATGATTAGATTCGAAATCAAGGTCCATTGGTTTACATGGAACGGGTTGTCCATCTACATAAATCGATATAAAGTTGACATGATGATGGGCAAACAGAAAAGGGATTCATTGCCAATATTGTCCATTTTCAGCATTTTCTACACAAGTAATAATGACTCGCTTGGGCATCAATCCTAAAAATACATTATCTTGCATAAAAGACCAACTTCCCTTAGATACTGAATATGTTTTGCATAATACTCGATCTATAGGGTATTTAGCAGAACTTTTTTCCAACGCTTTTACATGTCCGAGAGAGACTCCAGGGTTTACTTTTACTTTTCTGATAAACAAAGAAGCATGATCCAAGATCACTTTATAATCGGCATCTTTCTCAGTAGAAACTAGACAGAAAGCAGATTTACTACGCACCATTTTAATTTTCACATCAACTAAATTTAACATGAGTCGATTTTGTTGAAAAATGTCACAATGTAATTGTCCTATCAAATCCACACTTTGACTGTTTTTTATAAGTTCACCGCGAGCTTTTAGTCCAGCATCCGCATCTTGAGCTAAGACATCTATTTTATTAGGTGAAGTGTCTTGGAAAAATCCTTCGCAGGTGAGTAAACTTTTCTTTGGATCTTCCCCATAATTCAATAATGTTTCGATGAAGGCTCTATAAGGATAGGTATTTGTCGCAGATGAAATGTTTCTTTCATTTAAACTTACATCTACTTGCGAAAAGAGAGAATGTAAAAATAAATTTACAGGGGCAACCGGTTCTTTGTCTGTTAAACTGGATCCGTCTGCCTTAACTACTTTAACTTTCACGTGTATATAAGAAGCAGCTAGATCAATATAGTCTTCACCACTGCCAGAAATATTAAATTCGATAGGTCCTCCATCTCGTATATTTGCGAGAGGGTGATATTCCACAAACTGTCCTTTTTCTATAGCTGTTTGCGTAGGAGGAATGGTAAATAAATCTAATTCAGATTTGACGCAAACGGGAGAGTCTCGATGAATATACGAAGTCATACTTTTTTTTTTTTTTTTTTTTTTAAGAGAAAATATCCTGTGCTTTCACCTTCTTTGATCGGTGAGAAATGGTACGCTTTTTCCTACGTTTCTGCTTTTTATTGACTCGTCCAGAACCAATCATGTTCTTCACTTTAGTAGCAGCTTTATCCGTTAATATATTTCCGGCTTCTTTCAGTCGACGCTTAGCAGCCTCTTTTACATCTTGTCCTTGTGATACATCATTTAACAAATTCAGTCCACTATGCCATACTTGTTTTCCAATTGCTTTGGCTCCTGATTTAATAAGAGGTACGGCAGCGCGAAAGAAGGATCTGAATAGACCCCCTAATCCGTATCCTCTCTGATAAAGATTACCTTGATAATAATTCAATCCATGTCCTGTTTGTTGTACATAATAATCTTCAAAAGATTTTTGACAACACTGATAAGGTACATACATTATGACAAGTATTTTTGACGGAAATGAAGTTTCACGTATGACCTTCCTCGTTCAAATGGCGTAAATGCTCCCATATGCGTTCTTATATCGATTTCCAAAGTGTCTATCATTTTCCGATTCACAGGTAAATAATGAGGTCTATCAAATAGTGCACTGACCACTTCTCCATCGCTACCAGTTACTCTTACAATTCGAAGAAGAGGAGCTAAAACATCTCCTACGATTTGAGGTTCTACAATATCCGTATATATCATTAATACACGATAATGTGCACAGGGGTCGGCTGCAAAAGGACTTTCTACAACAGTTTCGGAACTATCTGTAGATGTAATTTCCATAGGTTCAAAACCTAACATTTGAGCTAACCCATCATGTAAAATCACTTTAGCGTTATTTTTCACTTTGATTTTCACTCGTTTTGTTACTGGGTTATAATTAAAAATTATTTTGTTTTGATGTTCTTTAATATAAATAGCTTTTAAAATATCAGGTACTGTTTCATAACATCCTGGAGGTAATCTACGAACCTAACATTTCACCATCTTTCTCTAAAACAAATCCAATTAAGTTATTGTCTGCATTCACATTGTGCCATGTGTGCGGATATAGCAATTCAACCAAACCAACTTCCCACATACCTTTTAATTCAATGGGAACAGGTAAACGTGTTATAAAATGTGAAATTTTATTTTCGGGGAAATAATTCATAGAGCTATCGCTCGGAAGTGTTACGTAGAAACTCATTTTCACAAATGATTCGGATACAGTATTTTCTCACACTTTATATCGAGAGTAAATTAGAAGCTGGAATCCATTGATTGAATTTGTCGGGATAACCGCGATATTTTACAAAGTATTCTGTCTGATTTTTATGTATACGTTTCTTTAAAATTTTTTCAATGCGATATTCCTCTTTCAGTCTCACTTTCTGCAACTCTTGTGCATAAAACGTTCCTTTTACTGAGTCTCCAAGTAAATCTTTAATTCTATACACAGCTGGATGTCTTTTAACACACTCTGTCACCACAAATAGTTCTTCAGTCCAATTGGTTTCATAGCCTTTTTCGAAAGTAAGCTTTAGTTTGGAAACACGTACCACATCTCCTACAGCGAATATACATTTAGAAACGTTAGAAGGATGATCTTTATACAAGGTAAACCATACGTCACTCTCATTTTCTGAATTGACTTCTATGGGAGCTGGCTTTATACTTGAATGAAAAGTAGCATTATAACTTTCTATTAATTTGTCCAAGACATCTACATATTTATATGTATTTCGAGTCGTAAAGTATTTCCACATTTTTGTTTTCAAAGTGCGATTAAACCTTTCCACCACGGATGCTTTAGTAGTATTGAATGTACTGAAAAGTTTAACTTGATTTCTTTTTAAAAATTTTATAAACACTTTATTTTTAAATTCGGTGCCCTGATCCGTTTGAAGGAATTTTGGTTTACGTTGACTCATTATTTTTTTGAAACGCTTTCACAATATCTTCTCCCTCTTTTGTTTCAGAGGAATAGCCCATGCATATTTGGATAATATGTCAATACAGTACAGGTTAATATATATCGATAACCATCATTATGATCACGTAAATGTGAAACATCCACTAAATCAAATCAGCTTGCCATTGTTGATCTATAGAATACACGATTACTCTATTCGTTGGAAATTTTCGGCGAATTGGCTTGTGAAGCGTGTACGCATCTATTCCCTCTAACCATGTTTGAATCTCTTTCCTGGAAACTTTACCTCCTGCAGCACGATGTAAAGCTTCAACACCACCAAAACTTGCAACATGAGCCGGATCCTGATACGATAAATTCATATTCATAGCCTATTGAATTATTCTTCATATGGATAATGATAAGTTCCCACTGTCGTTAAGACGTAGCGTAAAATCAATAGGAATTTTATGAAATTCTGTAAAAATATAGATGGATGATAAAATAACGCATAAAACAGTGTATAAACACACCGCAACGGTGGCTTCTCCTGGAGCAGGCATAATTGCAATTGATGAGCTGATTCAAATTCCATTTTCTTATATAGGCTTTTTTACCTAAATCTGAATGTATCCCGTCAGCTTAGTGGTTAAAATCTTCAAACTACTCAGCTGGTGAGATATTTTGTTTCAGGGATCGATCCTATATTTTGAATAATAGAACATTTAAAATAAAGAAACTTCTAAAATAAATTATTTTCTTTTTTCGTCCCTAGAGGACGCCATGAGCATATATCTCAAAAAATCCCGTTGCCAATTTAAAAAAACTAACTTTAAATGAAAAGCAGGAGGTCTACAACTCAATCAGCAATCTAAAAACAACTCAACTGCCACTCGAAACCACGCCTCCTAGTGTGATGACGTTGCCTTTGGCCCCGCCCTCTGTGTGACGTCATTGACCACGCCCTCAGCTCCTCCTGATGCAGAACTGTCATTTTCTATCTACTACTGTGACTTAAAACTGGACACTCTAGAAGAGCACCTGAATAAGATCAACAGGAAATTCTTCACGAAAGCTCTGAACTGTGACCATATGAGAAATTTTGATATCTTTACCTACGAAATATTGAATGAGGACGCCAAACTGCGCCCACTTGCGGCCCACCTTATCAGGGACCCGAACTTTCCCACCTAGAGCCTAACTGTAAATAATGTACCCAATGTGTTTATTAGCATTCTTAATTTTGAATCTTACTCATTTATTGTACTGTGTATTTCTTAAATTCACTAGTTTATTCACATTCTACACTCATTTTATGACTCCCACTTAGTCACGCCTTTACCGGGCCGGTTACTTGCTAGTGAGCTCTTGCGTTGCTGGTCTTCCTATTCTTTATCCGTCTTTCTCCTCCTTACTGCGGACATTATGTGAAGATAGTTCTATGTTATTGTGCCCATCCGGCATAAATTTGATTGAGCCAGATAAACTACTGATCTCAGTGGTATTCTGGCTATAAGTTATCAGTCAGTCAGTCAGTTCGTTGTAGTTACTTAGTTTGATGTTGTTTAGAAAACTGCTGTTGTTGATTGTAGCGAATTCGCGGATTAGCTTTCTTTAGCTGTTTTGAATTAAGTTCTTTTGAACGTTTGAGTAGTTAGAAGATAACTACTGTGATATATTGTGATACTGCACGATTATTTGAGGACATTTAATCATATTTCTTGTGATAATAATAAATTTTCTTCATTTTTCATCGGACTTGTGCATTCATTTCGTAACGAACCCGTACGCACACAACAATATGAAGACAAATATGGCATTCAATTAGCAAATTTAAAGATAAATAAAATTTTACAATATATCTAATAAATCCATATAGTCCTATGTAAATATAATGGTTAATCTTCGGATTATAGTAACTTGGTGATTTTTTGGCGAAAATTTGGCGACCAACTCTGCTACAGCAACCTGCTAGTTTCTTTTGGACGCCATTTTGTTTTCACGAAGTAAAGGCATGTTTTTTTTTTTTTTCCCTCAACATTTTTTTCCAACAATCTGCTAGCCTGCAACAATCACGCTTATGCTAGAACTTTTATGGAACAAAAGGGCTTAATCATGACGAAGATTAGGTGCGAAACTGGGAGAAAGTGCAGAATCGCAAACTGCTTGCCGCGTTTTTAAGAATTGCACATACACGGTATCATCCATGTACACGTCGAACTATTTTCACTTAAAAAAAAAATCCCAGAATTACACAAAAACGGCATTGCGCACACTCTTGACTTTATCCATGTACACTGCTAAAGTCCTAGCTAGTAACCTTTATCGCCTTACCAAAATGTCGCCAAACTCTCTGTTACCATATTCCAAAGATTAGCCAATATAATTTGTAAAATATGATGAACTCCTGCGGATAATTTCTGTAGGCGTCCCTGTCTCCCTATTCACGTTAGAATACGAATTTTTACGCTTTTAAGCCCTATGTGTCATTTATTGTTTTCATTTCAAATATTTTAGTGACATTAGGTAATTCGGAAGCAGGAAAGATAAAAAATGAGCAACCGCCTTCGCCGGGAATCGAACCGCAGACCCCTGGAATACGCGCTTAGCGTGCAAACCACAACACCATGAAGGAATGCCAAAAAGGCGGGAGAAATACCTTATGTACTTCCCCTTCTAAAGGGCGACTGGGGCTTTTAGGGGACCCAATCGCCAAATCCTGGGTGAAGAGAATCGTCATCTACGACCCTTTTAGTTCGGGTGCCACTGTAGAGACATTAGGTAATTTGGAAGCACGAACGATGTAAAATGATCAGCCGCCTTTGCCGGGAATCGAACCACAGACCTCTGGAATACGCGCACGGTGTGCAGACCACTACACCACGAAGGCATGTCAAGAAGGCTGGAGAAATACCTTATAATATGACTCAAACAAAAGCGTCCTGTGCCGATTACAAAGAACGAAGAAAAAGCCTCCTATTACAAGCAAAAGATCTCAAGCAAAATCTTTCTATTACTACAAAGAACTAATGGGTCACCATCAGTTGGTTGCTATCATCTAAGACAATAATTTATGTCTTTATGCATATGAGAATCTTTCCGGAGACCAACGAGATAGTATACTGGTAGAGAGCGTATTGCAACCTTCAACCGGTTCCAACATTAGTGCCACGTGACCTTCTGCGCGAATTCCGAAAGTCCGGAAATACTTTACATTGCTTTCTATGGGACGAAAGACTCCTGCTCTGCTTGGTCACATAAAATTTAAGTAAAAATGGTTATTCGCTGCAACGCCTACGGATGTAAAGAAAGTTTTGTGAAAGGAGGACTTGTAACCTTTCATAGGTAAGTTAAAACTGCATGATTTATTATTTTATTTTCAGTATTTTTGTCATTTTACTATCTCTGTTGAATTGGTTGGAAAGTTTCAGCCATATTGTATAAGAAAATTGCCGCCGTATATGACATTTTCAGCATGTATTATTAGCATCAAAATGTATTAAATACTGTGACACTATTTACTGGAATCTCCCTTTACAAATAATTGAATTTTTATATGTTTTTTTTTTTCCGTGTATTCCGTTGAAATAGAAAGCTGCGCCAATTGGCGTTAACCTTTTTTCGCCAAGTCGTACGCGTTTTGATTTCATAAACAATTACTGCCTGCGATAAAAAAAAAAATGCTATTATTTGCATTAAATTATTGAGAAAAGATTGTGCGATATGTTTACTTTGTTAAAAAAAAAAGCTGAAGATCTTGATTCATGCAACATTGAACATAAAGAGTTAAACAGCATTATTTTAAAAATCAGATTACTTTTATAAAGCTCAATGCTTTATCATTATTTTCTATAAAATCATTAAATAAAAATAATCTGGATTATAATTCTGTCTCATCTACGATGCTGTTAGAAATTTATTGTAATTGAAAAAATGTGATGTGAAAAACTTACCATATTTTAAATAGTATTTAAAAAAAAAAGGAGAGTGAGAGAATTGTTAACTGTAATATCGTTTTGATCCTAATATAAATACTGAGTTGAAGTTTGTTACCGTTTGATACATATTCAATATAAAATATTTGTTTATAGTTAATAATGTATTGATCCCCGCCATGACATACACATGAGTGTGGAAATCAGTAATTAAGATTGCATTATTTTGTCCCAGTAATATAATCTCAAGAAAGAGAGACAATCAATGGCATAAATACATATAATACAATGTGATTTTCTCTTTTCTCTTTTAGGATACAATGCATTAAAATTAAACGAGATTTTTTACCTTCTCAAATATTATAACAGTAGTGCAATTAATTTTTAACGTTATTCAAAATTAAAGTTTCCATCTCAATTTTTTATTATTTATTTTAGATTTTCTTCCTAAAATTATTTAACCTAAACATCTTAAACAATGGTGCAAATAATTTAAAGCGATTATTAAAAATATAGATAAAATATTCAGGAAAATAGGGGTTAAGTTATATCTAAATATAATTGTAAAAAATCGAACAACCTAATTCGAGGCCGTTGTCTGCTGACTGCTAGCAGACGGAAATAAAAAGCACTACCTACCATATCAAAAGCGGGCCAAACTGGCGATGAACAGCCTAAGCTATCACTCCCCAAGAGCATTAGTCACGTGGTATATGTTGGAGACAACCTAGCAGACGAATTCTCTGTGGGTGAGCCAAACAATCTGTGAGCCGTCTACCTGTTATATGAAGTCGTTGCCGGAGACACGGAAAATTTTACTCCGATAATTTGTGTCTTTCGTATCCTTCTTCGTGTAATCGGACATGGCCTATCATGGTACATCAAGGTCAATATATGTAAAATTAGTTAAAAAAGCAAAGTTCGACAGGCATAGATTTTTTAAAAGGAAATAGGCATATATCGCTTTTGAAGTCGATCAAACACAGGTTTCACTTTTTCATAGGCATAAAAATGTTTGTAGCGACAATACTTTTATGTAGAAATCAATGAGTGGGACAGAGACAAGAGGTACATAGCGCCGTGTATTCCAAAAAAATCTAAAATATTAGAATTCTGAAAGCATTGGGAAGAACATGATTAAAATTAACATCATTAAATAAAGAAAATAAATTTTTGTGAACATGAAAGACTATTACTAATTAGATATCTTTTAAAGTTTTTTTCCCCCTCCACCTTTTGATATCCATATAAAATGAATATCTCTGCTCTCACCTTTATACGTTTTTGCTCCTGAAGAATAGGGACTTGTGTCTGATCGTCCTCAAAACCGATAGAATTTTTATTAAAAATCTACAAGAAGTAGAAAATGCATTTTAGTATAATTTTATATTTTGCTTTACTACATTTCTTTTCCAAGCTCATTTTAAAACGCAAACCCCTTTAAAACAGAGTTT